AACTAATCAAGAGGGAGGACTCTGGCTAAAACGCTCAATACCCATCCCAAAAGGCAAAGAGGATGGACACCAGAAGAAGAAGAAAACAGGAAACAAGTTAGGAACCTCCCACAGAGGGCCTCTTAAAGGCTCTGCTGCAGACTATCAAAGCAGATGTTGAGACTTATGGCCACACTTTGGGAAGAATGCTGGGAATCTTATGAAAGAAGTGGGAAATAATAGTAAGATCTAGAAAGGACAGGAGGTGCACAAGGAGAGCAACAGAACCAAAAAATTTGAGCACAGGGCTCTTTTCTGAGACTCATACTCCAACCAAGTTCCATGCATGGAGATAACCTAGAACCCCTGCACAGATGTAGCCCATGGCAGTTCAGTGTCCAAGTGGGTTCCATAGTAATGGGAACAGGGATTGCTTCTGACATGAACTGATTGGCCTGCTCTTTGATCACCTCCCCCTGAGGGGGGGAGCAGCCTTACCAGGCCACAGAGAAAGACAATGCAGCCACTCCTGATAGACTAAGATCAGAAGGAAGGAGAGGGGGACCTCCCCTATCAGTGGACTTGGGGAGGACATGCTTAAAGAAGGGGGAGGGAAGGTGGGATTAGGAGGGGAGAAGAGAGGGGTTTATAGGGGAATACAAAGTAAATAAAGTGTAATTAATAAAAGTTTAAAAAAAAGAATATAATTGCATACACCAAACCAGGAAAACTGTTCAAACTGCATGTGAAGAAAATAGACACCTGCAGATACAAAAATTATCTGTAAGGATATTTGCAAAAGTTTCTTTGGCCCCATGCTAAAAGTCAGGGAAAGACAGTCCTACAAAACAATAATCATTTGCCAAAAATTGTGTCATTTATTCAACCCCGTTGCATAAATGGGTTAGTCTTTGACCATTTAGTCCCTAAACTTGTAACTGTAATATGCCCACCTCAAACAACACAAAAGAAAGTATGGATAGCTTTGTGCCCATGCATTTGATGTGTATTAATTCATTTGTTATACCCATCTGTTACAATCTCCTGGAATTGTCAATACCTTCCTTCATTCTGGGAAGCTACCATGTACAGTTTTTCCATGCCTATAATGAAGCTTCTCTTAAACACTTTATCACCCACTGGGGGAAAAAATGTCACAGAAAATTTCCTCATACTTACTAGGAGTTTGAGATCAGAAGCTCTGCACACAGTGGTAACAGTATGCAAAAATGCTTACCAAAAGAAAGAAAAAAAAAAAACAGGGCCCAGAATTCTTGGTTCTGTTGCTCTCCTTGTGGAGCTCCCATTCCCTCCAGGTCTTTCATCTCCCCCTTTAATAATATTCCCTGTACTCTGCCCAAAGTTTGGCTATGAGCCTCAGCATCTGCTTTGATACATTGCTGGGTAGAGTCTCTCAGAGGCTCTCTGTGGTAGGCTCCCGTCCTGTTTTCTTTTTTCAGTCTTCCGATGTCCATCCCATTTGCCTTTCTGAGTAAGGATTGATCATTTTACCCTTGGTCCTCCTTCTTGCTTAGCTTCTTTAGGTGTACAGATTTTACTATGATTATCCTATATTATATGTCTAATATCCACCCATAAATGAGTATATACCATGTGTGTCCCTCTGCCTCTGGGATACCTCACTCAGGATGCTCTTTTCTAGATCCCACTATTTGCCTACAAATTTCATAATTTCCTCATTTTTAATTGCTGAGTAGTATTCCATTGTGTAAATGTACCACAATTTCTGTATCTATTCCCCCATTGATGGACATTTGGGTTGTTTCCAGCTTCTGGCTATTACGAATAAAGCGGCTACTAACATGAATGAGCAAATGTCCTTGTTGTGTGCTTGAGCATATTTTCGATATATGCCTAGGAGTGGTATAGCTGGACCTTGAGGAAGCACTATCTTAGCCATTGGGTTACTTGATTTGTTGCTGTTTAACTTCTTAAGTTCTTTATAAATGCAGGGTATTAGCTCTTTGTCAGATATAAGGTTGGTGAAGATCCTTTCCCAATCTGGAGGCTGTTGTTTTGTTCTGATGACAGTGTCTGATGACAGAGCTAAACAAAATTCTTTATAGAGGAACATCGAATGGCAGAGAAACACTTAAAGAAATATTCAACATCCTTAGCTATTAGGGAAATGCAAATCCAAAATGACCCTGAGATTTCACCTATCAGAACGGCTAAGATCAATAACTCAAGTAACAACACATGCTGGAGAGGATGTGGAGAAAAAGGAATCCTCCTCCATTGCTGGTTGGAATGTAAACTTGTACAACCACTTTGGAAATCAATCTGGCACTTTCTCAGAAAATTAGTAATAATGCTATCTCAAGACCCAGCTATACCACTCCTAGGAATATATCCAAAAGATGTTCAAGCACACAACAAGGACATTTGCTCAACCATGTTTGTAGCAGCTTTATTCATAATAGCCAGAAGCTGGAAACAACCCAGATGTCCCTCTGTTGAGGAATGGATACAGAAATTGTGGTACATTTACACAATGGAATACTACTCAACAATTAAAAATGAGGAAATCATGAAATTTGCAGGCAAATGGTGGGATCTAGAAAAGATCATCCTGAGTGAGGTATCCCAGAGGCAGAGGGACACTCACTTATGGGTGGATATTATACATATAATATAGGATATCATACTAGAATCTGTACATCTAAGGAAGCTAATCAAGAAGGAGGACCCTGGTAAGATACTCAATCTTCATTCAGAAAGGCAGACGAGATGGACATCAGAAGAAGGGGAGGGCAGGGAGCAGGAAAGGAGCCTATCACGGAGGGCCTGTAGGAGACTTTACCCAGCAGTGTGTCAAAGCATGTGCTGAGATTCATAGCCAAACTTTTTTCAGAGTGCTGGGAATCTTATGAAGGAAGGGGGAGATGGAGAGACCTGGGGGGAACAGGAGCTCCACAAGTTGAGCAACAGAACCAAAAGGTCTGGGCACAGGGGTCTTCTCTGAGACTGACACTCCAAACAAGGACCATGCATGGAGATGGCTTAAAGCCCCTGCACAGAGGTGGCCCATGGCAGCTCAATGTCTAGGCGGGTTCCCTGGTGATGGGAGCAGGGACTCTCTCTGACATAAACTCATGGGCTGGCTCTTTGATCACCTCCACCTGAGGAGGGAACAGCCTTGCCAGTCCACAGAGAAAGACGGGGAGACTGGTCCTGATGAGACCTGGTGGACTGGGGTCAGATGGAAGGGGAGGAGGACCTACCCTGTAGTTGGACTGGGGGTGGAGCATGGGAGAGGGGGAAAAATGAGGGGGGAATGAGAAGGGGATAGGAGAGGGGGCTACAGCTGGGATACATGATGAATAGACTATAATTAATAAAAATAAAAGAAAAAATGAAAAAAATAAAAATTTAATTAAAAAAGAAGTAGAAATGTAAAAAAAAAATTTAAAAAAGAATCATGCATTTGAGGAATGGGGTGGCAAGTGGATAGATAGAAACACTGCATACATGCATGGATTTCTCAAAACACAGAGAAATATTTTTAAAAGATTTTAATAGTGTGGCTCAAAAGCATACAGCCTATGACCCTTAAAGACTAACTTCTGTATTTAACTTCTGTGTGGCTGAACAACGCTGTCACTATTTCTCTTAACTACTTGGTATATACCCCCTCGCAAAGAGCAAAGACAAGTGTTCACTTCAACCAACCCATTGTGAGTATATGCATTTATGCTTTCACAAATATTTGTCACAGACTGCTGTTAATGCTGCATGTAAGGAGTGCTATATGAACCAAGATGAATATGTAATTTCCAATCAATTGTTTTCTTGCAATGCATATTTACCAATATTCTAGCTTGTAAGTACTCAAATATTAAATATTCACACATAAAGTAAACAGAAAATAGTTTTAAAATGATCCTAAAAGAAGGAAGAAGAGGTTTCTATGGTATAAATTTCAAAGCATGAAAGACTTGAAAATAGCAGCAACACATCAGGTCAGAAGTGACCCAGTTTGCACACCTTCCCTGTGTAACACTGGCAGCCACAACATGCAGCATCAGTCACTCTGTGAAATGTTGGCAGCTAGTACATTACTACTACTGTATTGAATATTATTGCGGCTTCATTTTATAAAATAAAACAAAGAAATCTCGAAATAATACTAGATAGCTGTATGTGTAAGAATTAAATTAGATGCTTATTAATTCTGAGGCCACCAAACACCTTCGCTGAAGAGCTTACAAATTTAACATGGTAAAGGAAAGCTCAGGGGTTGAGAGCCACTGTTGCTCTTGCTCAAGAACCGGGTTGTTCCCAGCAGCCACACGGTGGCTATAAATAACCATCTGTAAATTCAATAGCAGGGCAGCTTATGCTCTCTTCTGAACTTGATGGGCATCAGGTGTGCGTGTAATGCACATAAAACATGCAGGCAGCACATTCATAAAGAATAAATAAGGGAAAACTATTTCCTATAGACATAGGGGAAGACTTTCTCAGCAGGACTCCAGTTGTTAAGAAAACAAGGCCAACAAATGTCAGTTAAGACTTCATGAAATTAAAAAGGCTCCTGCATCCAAAATAAGAACAAAAAAGCAATTGAGTCAATAAGCACTCCACAGAATGGAATAAAGTCTTTGCACACTGTACATCTAACAGAGGATATATGATATAAAGAACTCAGAAGACTGAACAACAACAAATAAAAAAAAATTAAGCGATCCAGTCAGTAAGTGGGCTAATGAATCAACACTTCTCAAAAAAGGTAATGCAAATCATTTTGTTTCCACCATAACCCAGTCAGAATGACAACTAAGAAAACTAGGAACAGCCGATTAGGGAAGATGCTTTAGGTCAGATTTCACACTGGAATGTGTGAGCATCAAGTACCAGCAGCCTTGGTCTGCAAGTGAGTTTGTATCTGAGGTTCTTGGGTGGGTTTCAGTGAATGAGACAGGGGAGAATGGAGCATGACAGGACAGAGCTACCTCCCTAAGGAAGCTTTATTCCCACACCCCTCACCCGATGCTGAATCAAGAGCATTTGCGGTGCACTATATCGGAACCTTGTTCCTCGTATTGCTCACGCAGGATCCAGCGGGACTGGAAAACACACAGCGAAGCCAGAATGGACCCCCCAATCCACACCGAGAGGTTCCTGTTGGGCTGGGCTTCCACAGCCACATGCGCCTCCGGCCTAAGACAGCGCTGCAGCTCAGCCTTGAAGCGACTTTCGAATCCAGTGAACAGAGAGGAGCCTCCACACAGCAGCACATTTTGCTCCATGTCTGCCCGCAGCTCCTGGGGCACAGTGCAGAGGCTCTGTTCCACCATGCTGGGGAGACCCAAGGATGGAGGTCCCAAGGTCTCTGGGGGATGGAATAGTAGCTCAGGGCACTGGAAGAGTTCCTTCCCCACTGTGATCATCTTTCCATCCGGCAGCTTCAGGCACCTCCGGAATTTGTCATCCGGGCGCCCTTGCTCCTTACTGAAATCTGAGACCACATAGCAGTAATGGTGCTTGATGCTCTCCATGGTGTCCATGTCTTCCTTCTTGAGCGGGAAGTTAGATCCAAAGATTTTCTCTGCCAAGAAGGTAGTCAAGTAGTGGCCAGCTAGGTCCAGGCGCTGGATGCCATTGGGTAGGTTGTAGCCTTGGAAGACTGGCACTGTGTAGCTGACCCCATGTCCAGTGTCTACCACCAGCCCATTAACGCACCCGTTGGCATAGACTGACAGCACGGACTGGGATGCCACATATATGGCAGGGGAGTGCAGAGACTCGAAAGCTACTTCCATCAGCTTCTCACGGTTGCTGGCAGGGTTGAAGGGTGGGTCGGTGAAAAGCAGAGGATGGTCCTGGGTGGCCACTCGGAGGTCATTCTCCAGGATGTGGCGCCAGAAGAGATCAGCTGCTTCCCAGTCCACCACAATACCATTACGAACTGGCTGCGTCAGGGTTAAGTCTGGGCAAGCATGGGCTGCCTCACCAACAAACGTTTCCATTTTGGATTGCCCCGTGGTGGTTTGTTTCTTGGGGCGGCAGCCAACGAGGCTGGTCACAATGTAGGTGGGTCGAGACTGTCCAGCAAAGCCCATCTTACATGTGCCAGTACCCATGTCGATAACCACGGCACACATCTTTGTTGGTACCCTGCTACCAACCATGTTACAAGGTTCTTGTAGCAGATTCTTGTTTACCAGGGTTGAGTGAGAGTTCAGATCAAGTGACTTGTGAGGCTCCCAGCGCTTGGGACCATTTACATCCATCTTTGCAAGTGGTTTCAGTGAGGCTAACTGATGAAGATGACAACTTTCCTCAGGGGTGTAGGAAGAAGAGGCCCAGCCTGGAACAGGACGAACAGAATGTGAGAGAGGTACACCATGAGATCTATGAGATCACACTACCTGGCATGCCTTCACAATGCAAGAGCTGGGTGTGGTCACAAGAGGTGGTGCTCCCTCAGGGCTCAAGTTGATTAATGTCACAAAGCCAAACATGAAGAGGGAGGTCTGGCCTTTCTCCTCCCCTTCCCCATGACTGATAGCTACGGCTCAGTATAGATAGCCATGTGCCCACTGATAATAGGAATCAGAAGGTGACAAGCCAACTTGGGTTTCTGGTTTTTTTTTTCTTTGCATATGTATGTGAAGGCATAGTTGCATTCATGTGTGTATTCAGGTTCACTTGTATATGAATGTATGTTTTTTGGGGGGTTGGGTCCATATGTACATGTCTACCAGTATGAGTACAAGTCCAACATCATTCCTTCTTATTGTTCATTCTTTCTTAGTTACTTTTTATTGCCATGACAAGACACCCCGACAAAGGCAAGTAGAAGAGAAAGTATTTAGTTTGGGGACCCAGGGTTCCAGAGGGTTAGTCATATTAGGGAGCATGGCAGTGGGCAAGCAAGCATGGTGATGTAACTGTAGTCGGGAGCTTACATCTGACCTATGGGCTCAAGGCAGAGAGAGCTGACTGGGAATGGTGTGGGCTTTTCAAACCTCAAAGCCCACCCTCTCTGTGGCACACCTTCTCCAAGTAGGCCACACCTCCTAACTCTTCTAAGACAGTTTCCCTTACTGGGAACCAAACATTCAAATATAAGAGCCTATGGGGGACAGTTCTCATTTAAACCAGCACAGGGTCTCTAAATCAAAGCAGAGCTTGCAGACACAAGCAATCTTGCAATTCAGTTTGTTCTGGGACCCTCTTTCTCTGAATTATAGGCAGGCTGCTATGCCTACATGGATTGTTGTTGGATCCTTATTCAAGATCTCCTTGAGGTTTATAACCATGGAGTCATCTCCTTGGCCCTGGCTTTCTGATTTTTGAAAGAAAGGTGAGGCCAGCCTGGAAGGAAGGGAGAGAGTATAATTTACTTACTTTGTATCCCAGCTGTAGCTCTCTCCCTCATCCCATCACAGTCCCATTCTTCCTCCCTCTTCTCTTCCCATTCCCCTCCTCCCCTTCCATCTGACCCTAGCCTATCAGGTCTCATCAGGACTGGCTGCATTGTCTTCCTCTGTGGCCTGGTAAGGCTGTTAACCCATCAGGGGAGATGATCAAAGAGCCAGCCACTGAGTTCATGTCAGGGAGAGCTCCTGTTCCCCTTACTAAGGAACTCACTTGGACACTGAGCTGCCATGGGCTACATCTGTGCAGAGATTCTAGGTTATCCTCATGCATGGTTTTTGGTTGGAGAATCAGTCTCAGCAAGACCCCTGGGCCCAGATTATTTTGGTTGTGTTGGTCTCCTTGTAGAGCTCCTGTCCCCTCCAGATCTTCCTATCTCTCCCTTCTTTCATAAGATTCCCTGAACTCTGCCCAAAGTTTGGCTATGAGTCTCAGCATCTGCTTTTATACTGTGCTGGGTAGAGTCTTTCAGAAGCTCTCGTGGTAGGCTCCTGTCCTGTTCCCTGTTTTCTCCCTCTTCCAATGTCTATCCCATTTGCCTTTCTGAATGAAGCTTGAGCATCTTCCCCAGGGTTCTCCTTTTTGCTTAGCTTCTTTAGGTGCACAGATTTTAAGATCAACAAAAGATAAATGGAAGTTCATGAAACTGAAAGGGTTCTGTAAAGCAAAGGACACTGTCATCAGAAAATGATAGCCTACAGACTGGGAAAAGATCTTCACCAACCTTATATCTGACAGAGATCTAATATCCCGACTATATAAAGAATTCAAGATGGAATACTATTCAACAATTAAAACCAAGGAAATCATGAAATTTGCAGGCAAATGGTGGGAACTAGAAAAGATCATCCTGAGTGAGGTATCCCAGAAGCAGAAAGACACACATGGTATGTACTCACTTATAAGGGGATATAATATAGGGTAAACACACTAAAATCTGTACACCTAAAGAAGCTAAGCAAGAAGAAGGACCCTGCATCTATTTCATCGTCTTTGTGCATTTGTGCAGCTTTACTCATTACGAGAAGTATAGGAAGATATTACTGAAACCCCAATCCTTGAATCTCATAGTTCAGGATGTATAAATTATGGATTTCAGGCTCCTGTCCTGTTAGTTGTTTTCTCCTACATCTAATGTTCTCTGAAAGATTCTACCTAGCAGTGTGTCTAAACAGATACACCTAAAGAAGATAATCAAGAAAGTGGACACAGGGACTTGGGGAGTGACATGCATGCAGAAAGGGGAGGGAGGGTGGGATCGGGAGGGGAGGAGGGAGGGGCTTATGGGGGGATACAAAATGAATAAAGTGTAATTAATAAAAAATTAAAAAAAAAAGACTCATAACCAAACCTTCGGCAGAGTGCGGGGAATCATATGAAAGAAGGGGGAGTTAATATGACCTGGAGAGGACAGGAGCTCCACAAGGACCAAATATATCTGGGCACAGGGTCTTTTATGAGACTGTTTCTCCAACCAAGGACCATGTATCGATATAACCTAGAACCTCTGCTCGGATGTAACCCATGCTCAGTATCCAAGTCGGTACCCAAATAAGGGGACAGAGACTATTTCTGACATGAACTCAATGGCATGCTCTTTGACCTTACCCCCCGCCCCTCCCGAGGTAAGAGCAGCCCTGCTAGGCCACAGAGGAGGACTTTGCAGCCAGTCCTGAAGATACCTGATAAACCAGGGTCGGATGAAAGGGGAGGAGGTCCTCCCCTATCAGTGGACTTGGAAAGGGGCAGGAAGGAGATGAGGGAGAGAGTGTGGGGTTGGGAGGGAATGAGGGAGGGAGATACAGCTGGGCTACAAAGTTAATAAACTGTAACTAATATTTAAAAAATAAATAAAATTATGGATTTCAGATGATAAGTGTATTTTCTAGAATAACAGAAGCCCAGTAAATACATATATGAATCTCAGGTGATAGATATGGGTCTGTTTGCATTTTTCTACATGTGGACTTCCAGTTAGACCAGCACCATTTGTTGAAGATTCTAGCAGCTTTATTCATAATAGCCAGAATCTGGAAACAACCTAGATGTCCCTCAGTGGAGAAATGGATACAGAAGTTGCAGCACATTTACACAACAGACTACTACTCAGCTACTAAGAACAAGGAAATCATGAAATTTGCAGGCAAATGGATGGAACTAGAAAAGATCATCCTGAGTGATGTAACCCAGAAACAGAAAGACACACATGGTATATACTCACTTATAAGCAGATATTAGCCATATAATATAAGATAAGCATACTAAAATCTACAGACCTAAAGAAGCTAAACACTAGGGAGGATGCTTACATCTCATTCAGAATGTCAAAGGGGATAGACACCAGAAGCAGTGGAAGAGAGGAAACAGGATAGCAGCCTACTATAGAGGGTCCTCTGAAAGGCTCCACCTAACAGGGGATCAAAGCAGATGCTGAGACTCACTGCCAAACTTTGGGCAAAGCCCAGGGAGTCTTATGGAAGAAGAGGAGGGTAAAGATAGAGGGACGTGGAGGGGACAAGAGCCCCACAAGGAGACCAACAAAGCTAAAGGATCTGAGCCCAGAGGATCCCACAGAGACTGATGCACCATCTGAGAACCACGCATGTAGAGGACCTAGGCCCCAGGCTCAGATGTAGCCAATTGGCAGCTCAGTCTCTATGTGGATCTCTGAGTCAGGGAAGAAGGGCCTGCCTCTATCATGAACTCAGTTGCCTGCTCTTTGATCACTTGCCTCTGGTGTTGCAGCCTTGCAAGGCCTAGGAGGAAAAGGATCCAGGCATTTCTGATGAGACTTAACAAACAATGGGCAGTGACAATAGTGGAGAACTCCACTTTCAGTGGACTAGGGGAGGAAGATAGAGGAGAAGAGGGTTGGTGGGACTGGGGAGAGTTAAGGGAGGTGGCTTCAATCAGGATATATAATTGTTAAAAAAATTAAAATTAAAAAAGAACTCAAGAAGTTAAATGCCAACAAATCAAGTAATTCAATTTAAAAATGAGGTACAGAGCTAAACAGAGAATTCTCAATAGAGTATTATGGAATAGCAGAGAAACACCTTAAAAAACACTCAACGTCCTTAGTCAACAGGGAAATGCAAATCAAAATGACCCTGAGATTTCATCTTACACCCATCAGAATGGCTGCGACAATACTTAAAAACTCAAGTAACAACACACACTGGAGAGGACATGGAGAAAGAGGAACCTTCCTCCACTGCTTGTGGGAATGCAAACTTGTACAACCACTTTGGAAATCAATTTGGTGCTTTCTCAGATGATTAGGAATAGCGCTTCCTCGAGATCCAGCTATAGCACTCCTAGGCATATATCCAAAATATGTTCAAGTACACAACAAGGACATCTGTTCAACCATGTTTGTAGCAGCTTTATTTGTAATAGCCAGAACCTGGAAACAACCAGATGCCCCTCAACTGAGGAATGGATGCAAATTGTGGTACATCTATACAATGGAATATTACTCAGCAATGAAAAACAAGGAAATCATGAAATTTGCAGGCAAATGGATGGAACTAGAAAAAAAATCATCCTGAGTGAGCTGTCCCAGAAGCAGGAAGACACACATGGTATATACTCACCTTTTTTTTTTTTTTTTTTTTTTGGTTTTTCAATATAAGGTTTCTCTGTGTAGCCTTGGCTGTCCCACAACTCACTCTGTAGACCAGGCTGGCCTTGAACTCACAGAGATTGACCTGTCTCTGCCTTCCAGAGTACTGGGAGTAAAGGCATGCAGCACCAACAATTGGCTCCATTCTTTTCTTTAAAAAAATTATATATATATATATATATATATATATATATATATATATATATATATATATATATATGGGTG